TTCCTGAGCAGTTTTAGGGCGCATTCCCTTCCCTGCCTGAGAGTGCTCTTGCCAACAATGCTTAGGTGGGTGTTCAAGCAGCATCCACATGAATGCCAGGAACAAAGGCTTCCCAGCAGATTGCAACGGGATGATCAATGTTATTTACTTCACCTGTCAGCGGTTTTAATGCTCCGGCTGATTGGTCTGTATTTTAACAGTGTACTGCACCTAGCAATAAAACTGGCTCCATGCAGCATGTCCACTGGGGCAACATAGACTCAAACACCAGTGGTCTGATGCGGGGTCTGTGTTTCGCATCTGGCATTTTCATTTTAATGCTGCCAGAGATATAGAGACTTGAGAATCAGTAAATACAGCTTGGAGTTGTTGTGAAGCACTTACTTACACAGACCTTTGCTCCAGCTTAACTCTCTATTAACCAGAGAACAAAGAAAAATCTATAGAGACCTTGAGAGGATGGAACATGACGGTGAATCCGGCAGTCGGGATTTTTCTTCGTTGGAGGCTGAATAATGAGGCCTGTACACGCTCACACAGGACTGGGTGGGTCGGACAGGAGGGAATAGGTTCACTCAGTTTAAAAATGATAAACTCTTCCTGTCGGCGTCCTGCAAAGCTGCTGAATTCTGAAACTCCGTTGCTCATTGTGGCGCATTTCATCAAAGAACTGAACGTTTCACACCCCGACGTTGTGAATGTGTTACACGCTGGAGTTTATGTAAGGCGTTACAGTTTTCAATTTAAGAGCGTGCCCATAGGCGAGCGCTGTAGATTACATCTTAATTAGCATTCCACACAAATGCTGTGCCCTCATCTGGACTTGTTCCACAATAAAGGTTCAAAATTAAATCTAATACCAAAATATAATGGAGAATTGCTTTCCTTCAGATCATTAAGATCGAGATAACACCCCCACCGTTTAGCTCATTTGCTAAGCTCTCAAATTTCTCGGCCCCTTTAGGAAACTCTGAACTGTTTGGAAAGGGAGCATTGAAACAAAACACAAAGACACGTTCACCTGAGCACAAACAAATGTCTTTCAAAAGCATTAGCCACGGCACCAAGAGTTGTGTTAAGAGGCACTTTTCGATGCTGATAATGTGGTTCTGTGCGGCTCAATGAGGAAAAGTAACCGCATGCTTCAAGAGTTTGATTCCCTCTGGGGTCACTGAAACTAAAAGTATATCCACTACTCCAAGGCAATTTGGATGAAAGCATCCAACACATGCCACATATTATATTTTAAGTGGAAACGAGTGGGTTGAGTGTGTAACCCAACACATTTTAAAGGCTTTTTGAACCGCGCTGAACTTCGTACTCGAACATCCCTTGAAATGAAAGCAGCTAACAGCGTTGGCACTTTACGGAGCTGCTTGTAGAACCAGACTGTGAAGTTTTTAAAATTGAATGTGTTGTTTGGAAATGTGGCAAGTCGTACATCATCATCATCACGTATAGGTGGATTTTATCATTCTGTCTTGACCTTTCAATTTGAAAACAAAAGTAGACACAAGCTGAATGACTAGATACTGTTAAGGAGCCACTAAAGGCTAAACGCTCGCGTATCAATGAAGCCGGAAGGCGGACGCGTTTTCGATAATAAATCTTCCGTGTTGCTTTTCCGTCCACGTGGCATCTATTGCACGTCTATCCTTGAGGAGAAAGCGATCACTCCTCAGTTTTCTCTCCCCCTCTCGGCTGAAGTTTCTTTGAAAGAGATGCTAAAGACAGAAGGTTGTCACATTCTGTATAGATCGTAAAAGTGGTGATTTTGGGTCATATAAAAACCAGACTTCGCTCACAGTTCAGATGATGACACTGAGCGGTGTCATATTTTTCTTTGAAGTCGAGCCCATCTCTCCGCTTAAGGAATCGGCGAACTGTTGATAACAAAACGCCCGTTAAGCCTCGCAGAGACGTCACCGGCTACAGCTGGCTCTGCAACTTTTAGCTGCAAAGCTGAGCGGTTGTTGGACCGAATTCAAGTCCTGCTCGCATAAAAAATGTACCAGGGCCATTAGAAAAAAAAAAGTGCTAATGATGCCAATTTCCAGCCAAGTTGTATTTTATTTTTCTTGCTTTGTATGAAGTAATCTGAAACGCCGGAGTCACAGTAGGGATCTAGCGCTACACGCTGCTCTCAATAATCAGCCGCCGAAATAACAAGGTGACCACAGTTCCAAACTCCTTTACGTTTCAAAAAAAAAAGACTACTTTTACTGTGCCGTTTTTCATTATCGCTGCCTCATTGTTCTCTTCGCCCTTGACTGTGGTCTACAAAGCACCGTCGCTGGTAAATATCACAACAGACAATCACATCAAGGAGCTCTGGCATTCGCACACACAAAGAGCTTTTCTGCCTCGTACTAGATAGCGGTTGCCATCATACATATTGATCAACAGGAGTACAAAACCCATTTTAACTTCATTTTCGGCGCTATATAAAGACTGGCATTTCTTAATAGGGTTCATTGATAAATCATTCATCTCTGCGTAAAAGGGTAAGTCACTGGGATCACTGTCTGACTGAGAGCCATCATGCACAAATTACTTCATTGAGGGAAGCACGGGGCGAGAACTCCAGCTGTCTGGCTGCTCAGCGACAATCCAGAAACTCCCCCCCGCTTTGCCTAATGGGAAACTCTGAGGGGGTGTATGAGATTATAATGCAGTGTCTATATATTTAAAAATGAAAAAAATGACTTACCATAATGTGGATAATTAATGAAAATCAAGGTAAACAATTATGAGGCGCTGATTCGTCTGTAGATTAGCGACTGTTTGCACTTAAGATAGATAGGAGATGAATAATTGATGCCGACTAATTCTAAACAGAATGGAGACGGGGTGATGAAAGATTTTGTTGTGCACTGAAAAGAATTTATTGTGATGTCAGACACCACTTCAGCCTCGCTTTGGAAATAATCCATCCATCCATTATCTATACACCGCTCAATCCTCACTAGGGTCATGGGGGGCTGGAGTCTGTCCCAGCTGACTCAGAGTGAAGGCAGGTTCACCTGGACAGGTCACCAGTCTATCACAGGGCTACACTTAGAGACAGACAACCAAGCACACTCACATTCACACCTACAGACAATTTAGAATCACCAATTAACCTCAACATGTTTTTGGACTGTGTGGGAGGAAGTCGGAGAACCCGGAGAGAACCCACGCTGCACGGGGAGAACATGCAAACTCCATGCAGAAAGATCCCGGTGCCCCCACCAGGACGCAAACCGGCGACCTTCTTGCTGCGAGGCAACAGTGCTAACCACTGCGCCCCCTTTGGAAATAATAATCATACTAAAAAAAAAGGAATATGAATGTTTTGTAGCTCTTTTTAAATTGAACTCAAATTTTAGGTTGTTTCCACTTAGAGCAAATTTTATTCATCACAATAACTCTGATAAAAAAAGCAACTCGATTTTTTTTTAAAAAGAAGAAGAAAAACTATATATTAAAAAAAGAGAATAGTTTTGTAAACCTAACTTCAGCAACTGTGTTAAGTGGTTTGGGTTTAGTCTCTGTGGACAAAAGAGTGTTTTCCCCTCCTGGCAGACGACTATTACCAATTTCATCTTTTTTTTTTTTTTTTTTTCCAAACACGTAACCTTGGCTTTCTACATTCATAACAGACCCTGAAAGCACCCAGGAAACACAGATACATTAGGGCTCTCAATTATAAGAACACATGGGTCCCTTGGGCTGAATTCCCCATTCAGTCTTCCCTCCCCATGCACTAACATGCCATCTAACAGCCGAGCTACGACGCCGCACTCTCCACACTCACTTAACATACTGCCTGAAGACAAGATACGCCTGGTTCCCATTCAGGTAATGGAATAATGTAATTTAAAGAAGAGCGAAAACACAGGCGGGTATTATCTAAAGGATCTCCCAGCAGCAGAGCAGTGATAGGCTGTAGTTTACTCTTCCCGGTGATTAATATGATACCCGCTGTAATAAACAACTACGTATATTTGTGCAATATGTCCTTGTTTACTTACTTCCCTAGAGCAAAGCACTCCAGTCTGACAATGACTCCTTTGGCAGCCAGGACAGATGTAGGAAAGTGCACTTCAATTTTGGGCTCATATTCACCCATGACACCTAGAAGAAAAGAAGAAAAAAAAAGGGTTAAGAAAGAGGAATTGCACACATTAGAACCAAGTGGATTACAAGAGCTACTTACTGTACGCTCCCCCACATTTCCCATCATTTTCCACACAAAGACCAGGGGTAGATTTAAAAAAGAACAGGGATATCCATTTCCCATTTCATCCGTAATTGTTTAATGAGCATATAAGTGACGACTGAAGAACAGATTCTTGATGTTTAAATCTCTCTGAATCCACGCTGCATGAACTGGTGCGGCGGTGCAGGTGTGGAGCGCACATTATGCACACCATCTGGCGTAGCTTTCAACCGTCTACCTTCGTTTCACACGCTGTTTATTAATGGGGATATCGATACTGGTTTAAATCAAATTCAGAGCATGTAACTAAATAATTATGCTTTTGATCTCGACAGAAAACGAATTAAAACGCGGCCTGTTGAATGCAAAATGAGCTTAACTCGCTGTACTTTTTATTTATGATTTACGACGTTTCGCGGTCAGATGGGAAATGCAGGAACATGAGATAAATTCTGAATAGTTCGCATATTGCCGTTTATGCACGATCACAAACTGTATAGGAAACAGCAGAGCAGCTCGAAAGCCGTGCTATCGCCAAAGCAAACCGCCCGGACGACGTGCGAACAAACATTCGCCAGCGACAACAGTGAAGAGGATTCTATCGTCCTCAAGAATTAGTAATCCACTCAACAGTTCGCAAACACATTGCGAAGGACACGAGTGACAACGTGTTATCAGTCTTGCTAAGTGCCACAATGACTAACACCTCCTTTCTAAGTCATAGCCAAAGGACACGACTTCTTTGTTTATTCATCTGTATGTTGGGCCGGCCGTTTATTTCCATTTGCCAGACAGATATGTCAGATGGCTTTGAGCGAATTCGGAGCAACAAAGAAAAACACCGTCGTCTGGGAAATACATGCCATTATCTGTCTAATTAGATGTAGATGTTAAATGCATACAATTATTGCGTGGAAGCCCGACGGTGGAGCGGCTGCTAGCCCGACCACCTGCCTGAGCACACATCAAAACACATCAGAACATATGCAGCGCGGCTCCGCATGCATTATAAAGTACATGATCAGGAAGACAAATGACCGGCGTGACATTTGAGAAACCATAATTACACTTCCTACATGCACCTGACACTTTTTATGTGACAAAATGAATGCAGCAAAGGAGTGGGGTTATTGAACTGTGGCCCACTATGTATGGAAAAGGAGTTTTATGATATTTGTTCCAAAGAACTTTTCAATTTCAATCTCATTCTCAACATTTATGGCTCCAAAGCAGCCCTTCACATATAATGAATTTGCAATATTTCATTGGCTCTTGCCATAGTATATTCAATATCATATTCAGTCTCAGTGGGTGGACTTGATAGAATTGAAAGAAATAATGTCTAGACTCGGCGTGCTAAAACATTACCGACTCTCACTCGCAGCGCAGCTTTATATTTTATCTTCCAATTTCCTTTATTAATCGCATGAAAATTACATTTTTTCCCTTCTGTTGTGATTTTTTCCCTCTGAAAGCCAATTTCAAAGTAAGATGCCTGATCTAACATTTACTGGAACTCCAAGCTAATAGCATTAAAAAAGTGTTTTATTAGCTCTCTGATCAAGTAATTGATGCGATGCCTATCAAAAGCACGAACGCAGGACAAAGTCCTGAAGAAAAATAGAAAACATATCCAAGAGAGTCTTGAGTTCAGGGTTCAGAAAACACATTTAGCAGGTTTCTATGTTTTAATAAATTCATTACACCTGCCTAAAGATAAAAACATGAAATATTCATAACTTGACATCTCCCTTTTTCTACCTGCATCTCCGTACAGCTGGATTGGTCCGGCTGATTCCTGGACAGCTGGACTGGTCTCTTTAAATGTAATTATACAGCTAATGTGGTGCGCACTGAGGAAGCTGCCCTAAAGGGACTGACCCTCCATCTACACTGCATCAGCAAGGTTTTAAACAAGGGACATGATTAATATTAAACAAATGGTGTAATAAACCCGGTGACCTTGTGTCACGTTGCTTCAGCTGATTGCACTTTTATTGATTCTCATCTAAGGCAAAGAAAATACAACTATTCACCTAAACCATAGATTCATGTTTTTTTTATTTTTTTATTTTAATGATTTATCGATGGTACGCTCTTCTTTACCATAACATCGGCGTTTACTGTGTATATTGTGGGTTAATGTCTCCATGACAGCTTTCTGTAGGGTGAAAGGTCACATGTTGTTGGCTGGTAATTCAATATGGCTGTAGGCTTTTCAGACATTATCGTTGCCTGATTTTACTGCCAGCGTGCAGAGAGAAAATCGATCACGACAGCGAAAAACGATTCAGATGTATTGATAAATGTAGGCTACATTCTCGTGTTTGTAAAGTTTCCGCTCACACACTACTGAGTTTTAGTTCCAGATGTTGTTTCTCCACTAATCCTAAATGAAAATATCTGCCAGTGTGTTTCCCGACATCGCTGATTCAAACCAAAAACTGCCACACAGATTTATTTACTGTCTGCTATTACAGCTTCTTTTCAAGGCCAGTCAAGCAGTTTGAGAACGATGCCACTTGATTATCACTGACATTTTACAGTTTTCATGTTTTTGTTTTTTTATTCTTAACAGTCGAACCAGTGATCAGACTAGAAGAGAATATTGTGGCTAAATATGTGGCTGGTGGTCCTGCAACCAAAACAATTGTACTTTTAGACAATAACAGTAGATGAATGCCAGCGGGATGGCAAACGGGCTGTGTAAAACACCTGAATTATTTATTTCTGGCTGTTTCATTTTCACTGTAGTATTCCCTTTTATTAACAGACATATGCTTTACATGTGTTCTCATCCAGAACCACTTCAAAGCTATCCACAGTAATATTATGCAGCGGGTTCTATTTACACCGAAGCATTAAATCAAAGAGGCGGCATTTCTGAGATGAACCCTGCGTGTGTGTTTAAAAACAGCGCGTTAGTCCGGAGTTCAGTGTTTAGCCCCCGTTCTGCTCAAGGTGGATTGCGATCCGTCGATCAATGGCCTCCAGCTGGGTATAATGGAGCCCAGATGCTTGTTTTGATTAAGAGAGTCGTGGTTGGAGCTGACAGTGGTGAGCCACGCACGGATCCAGCCTCAACTGTCTGCTGTGCAATAATCATTCACTTTTACTGAGGCACAGATTGCAGTGTCTAATTGGTCAGACTCCAATGCTTGAAGGGTGCACACACAGCACGGCGACATTTGGGCGACTGCTGTGAGGTGCGCCAATGTAATTTTCAGCATTTTAGACCCGAGATCAGAATATAGAAGGTTGCCACCGAGCATCACGAGACGAGCTCAGCGAGAGGTGCCAGGGTACGCTTTGGCATGACGGACCTTACAGGTGTAGAGATTTGATTTGGCCGTGTCGTGTGGCAGGTGAGCACGCCGTCCTTCAACCCCGTGTTTTATGGCAGCACATCACACGATTCTGCTGCAGAATTGATTTCTCCTCCTTCACTCATTGTTGGAAAAACAACAAATTTGCCGCTTCTTTATCCAACCATGAAGGCTAATAAAATGGCACCAGCGGCCTGACCGCACGCCTTTTTTTTGCAACTCAGTTATTCAGAGACACAAACCAATTTAGCGTAGTTATTCGCTAAGTATTATGTACGTCTCTGAAGGCCACTTCACACAAAGTTATGCAAATACAAAGCAAGAATCTTGCTGCAAGGCATGTAATCCTTAAGAGGTAAATTTGTGTCGTAACATTTGCAACAAACCCGGTTCTGAGGCACAGAGGCCATTTCACAGCTTCACCGGGGATGTAATCTCAGTGGCTCTTTGAAACCTTGACAATGACAGGCACCTGTGTGAAGTGATGGACGTCTCTCTGTGTAGTCAGATGTAAAAAGCCTGTAGGTGAAATCCACACCTGAATCCAACAAACAGCTCGACAGCATGGCTCCTGAGAGGCTAGTATAAAAGAGCAAAATCCCATCCACAGCAAGGGCCATTGATTCAGTTAATTTTATGCAGGAAAATGATTTCCCTGATGGCCAGTTTCACCAAAGCACATTGTGAGCAAAGAAGGCTCCCCACTCTAATGTTAAAGCATTGCTCACTATCTATTTACGGTGTGTATGGAATTCAGAACGCCTTCCACTAACACGATGCTCAGCGGAAAGCACAAGACCGGCCCACTTTTTATTAACCTGGCTGATGTGAAAATTTTTCCTCAAAATGCATTACGGTACAGTAAAGTGCACCAGCGGTGGATAAAATATGATTTTCATCTGCGTTAAACAAGTTCAGCGGGAGAAAGCACGGGAAAAGAAAAAAATGGTAACATCTTCACACTCAAATGAGCAGACAGAGGATTCTGCAGGATTGTCTGTTTTTACCAACGAACGCTCACCGTCGGTTTTTAGCGTCAGGGGCGTCGGAGGACTTAAGACTCTTGCATTCGTCGCTGTGTTCTTCACCAGGCAGATGTAGCTTCCAACGTCAGAGGGTTGCACCTTCGAGATATAAAGGTTTCCCGTGTCCTGGGAGATGAAGCGCCGACTGTCCTCGGCAACAAATGAGGGGAACTCATTAAACACCCAGCTGTAGATGATCTCTGTAAAAGCAGAGGAAGGCCACATATGTCAGAAAACAAACAAGTCCTATACATATGTCTATTTATAACCTGCTCTTTGTGTTTCTGAAAGCAATCTATGAACTTGTTCTAACATCCTGCGCAGTGTTTCTGCATTGTTGGAGATCCTGAAAAAACAATAAGCTTCATTTTTATCTACAGAAAACCAACGACAACAACACTGTGGCTTTCTTTTACATCAGCCTCTCCTTCTCAACTTTCAACAGGAATCTTAATTTTCACTCCTTGTTGAACACAAATAGGTGATCATTTTATTGCTTTTGCTATGCTCTTAAATATAGTTCAGCGAATGTAACGGTGAAACCAATGTCACACATGAGAAAATGATTAACCACTGATAATTTAGCGCAACGTTAATCGTGCAAACACTGCAGATCACTGCTCAATACCTCTGAAGCAATCATTATTTAAAGGAGTCAATATAAACTGCACAGAAGTCGGTACAAAGTCAACAACGACAAAAATTAAACGGGGCCTTAATGAGCCTGGTATTTGTAGTGATGTTTTAATTAAGTCGTGATGTCATCAGAAAGGTGAAACTTGCACGATGACTCGTTATTTCAGGGCGTACCGATTCCTCGAGGTTTGGCTGTTTGTGTGTAAATACCACAGACTGTATAAAAGATGGACGTAGCAACCGGCCCTGAAAAATGAAGCCAACCCGGAAGTGTCAAAAACCTGCAATATCACTACGTCCACTAGCTGCTGGCTCCAAAAAGCCCTGGCTCCCATAGACTGGAATTGGAAAAGAAGTCATCACAGATCACCAAATACTGCATTCCTACAGCTCAGGATTTTGTTTTTTATTAGTTTTCATAGTCAAATCCAGAGATCAGGTGGCCAATCTGAAAATAAATCAATACTGAATTTTTTTAAAATCGTCAACATTTTGCAGGGCAAGGGGCGTGGCTGGCTTGATTGACAGTCGGCAGCGACCATACAGACGAAGCGAGCAGAAGGTGGTAATGGAATGTGGGCGGGCAGAGAGGGCCCGCCTCTCAATCCGTCCGACCAATCGCTGCTCCTATGGCTCCGCCCCCCTCCAACATTTTTTTGCATCACTGGCTCCAAAAATCCAAGATGTCAACCAGGAAGTAGCAAAACCCTGGCTTCATTTTCTCAGTGCAGAAACCAACGGGTGACGTCACGGTAG